GCAATGTCCTCATGGTACAAGCACACAGCTGATAAGCGCCAATCAACATTTGTACCAATAGATCGCGTGAGATCGAAATCCTTCTGATCCCAAACACCGCCCCCCCACGCAGATTTCGACCCAACCGGCCCAATCCTGCCTACCTGAAACGCCCAACAATGCTATTAGGCCCCAGAAATATAACCAATGCCATGGCTCTCAAAATCCGAGGACGTTCTACCAGTCACTACAGCAAAATGAAACTATGAACAGCCCGCGCAGCATCAACACAGTGATCCCCTGATAACCAACTATCCGCCTGGTACGCTATCGCCCAGTCGGCCCTTCAAAAGGCGCTATGGCATCCAAAGGTCAAGTGCACAACCCCGTTATCAATCCCCACAACCACTCGAAACAGTGGGGAACAAAGCACCCTCCCAAGGAAGACGCCCTTCTGAAAATCTCTACCGCTCCATCAACACCATTTCTTACCACTTCCATGTACTCTACGCCCGTTACACCCTATTGTGCAACCTCTCCCACACAATCGAACACTTCTAACTCTCCTTGCGTTAAATCATACAGTATGCTGCTTATTAACGCGCGATCTATTACACACAAGATGCACCTCATTGGCCCATTTATTCTACTCTCATACCCACAGCTGGTTCTCATCATAGAAACATGGCACTCCTCAAATGCCTCTGACAGCCTACGACGCATCCCTGGCTACATTACATTCCGTAACGGACCAGACAAGCAGCAGGGCGGCGGTTGTCTTATCTATGTCGGGGACGACTTTGGTGCACCCGATTTCGAACTGTTATCTATAGGTGACCCTGAAGACTCCACCTGGATCCAGATGACAGGTGGTCAACTTGCCCCCCTTATCGGTAGCGTATACAACCCTCCACACACATCTAGCAAAAAGGATAATAAACTCAATAAGCTCTTTACTGAAATCTCCCAAATGCCCCCACGTCACAAGATATTGGGCGGCGATTTTAATATGCCACTTATCCCCTGGAACGACCAGGTTGCCCCGCTTAGATACAGAAGTTTCGTTCACACCGTCCACGCAAATAACTGGACCCAACAAGTTCACGATCACGCAAGGCTTTCTAACACTCTAGACTTAATCTTTACGCAAAGTGTCTCTGATGCAGTTGCTGGTATATTAGATAATATAAATGGCTGCGACCACAAGGTCGTCAAATTCATATTTACACTATCTACTCCACAGTGCGCCACTTCTTCTTCTGTCAAACAGTTTCGAATGTTCGGCCACATAAACCGGGACAGCTTTGAGATATTAGTGCGATCTGCGAACTAGGACTTCTTTTTATAAATAAATAAATAAATAAATAAATAAATAAACTTTTATTCTCGACAAGGCGAGGCACACCTGTACAGGCATGATCATGCTTAGCTAACATAGTGTGATCAAAAATGTACAAAAAGTACAGGTTGGCACAACAGTGTACGTAAATGTATGAGTGTATATACATATGTAATTTTGTATGAATGTAGCTTGTGTCTTTGAATATGCCGGAGCATTTTTGACTGTTTGTTATCCTCAAGAATGTAGGCATAAGCGATTGATGTCTGCGAGTTGGATAGCACTTGCCGGATATCCAGCGTGTATGGGTGTATATACGTATATAATTTTGAATGAATGTAGCTTGTGTCTTTGAATATACCGGAGCATTTTTGACTGTTTGTTATCTTCCGGAATGTGAGCAAAAGCGATTGATGTCTGTGGGTTGGATAGCACTTCCGGATAGCTACGGGCCAGTGACTTTATTTTGTGGCGAGTCACATCCGCCACGTTGCAGTGTTGTTAAACAGACATTTGTGGCTTTTTATAGGGAGAACGCTTGCCAGGCAAAAACCCACCACGTCCTGGAACACTGCTGCCGAACTATTTGCTGGAACCGGTTAAACCCGAACCACCCAGCTGGCACCACGAGGAGGTTGTTCGGCGAAAGGAATAAACGAAAGGATCTAGGCCATATGAGCGAGCATATTGTCAGGTAATAGTCAGATCAAGGATCATGATGGCGCTACGGCGCGCAAAACCTTTGCGTCAAGATACAAGTGTGGGGGGTAAATTTGCTATGTAGAGATCCATGAGCAAAGGAGCCCAAACAAGGTTTAGTGCAATCAATGACCATTACGAAGCCGTGATGATCTGTACTGCACTAAATAATGCTTCATAGTAAAATCAGTTGCACAGATTGGATGTAGGAGGCTGAGGACTGCGTCAGTGTGAAATGTATAGCTGTGACTTTATTTTGTGGCGAGTCACATCCGCCACGTTGTAGTGTTGTTAAGCGGACATTTGTGGCTTTTTACAGGGAGAACGCTTGCCAGGCAAAAACCCACCACGTCCTGGAACGCTGTCGTATTTTCCGTTGAACTGTAGTGCTAGTCGGCTATGCATCGTATAGACCGATTTTGCGCTCTATTATTCGCAGTTGTTCTCTGTGAGTGCTACGCGGTAACTCGACTTTTTGGCGTGCCATACTGATTGAGATTTTTAGTTGAATCAACGTGGAAAAAGTGTTTGAATAAACACTTGAAACGATATTTGACTGTTGTCAAATTTCCTCTGATCCAATATGTCTTGGATCGATTAAAGCGGTTCTGGTCAAAGCGTCTTTGGCGCTTACTGGTAATTTTCCCAGTTTTCCAGTTTTAACCCCGTTTTGCACCCAGTTTTTTGCCTTTTTTATTGTGGTCGTTTAACTATTGCATACGTATTATAATCACTCTGTTTTCCACTACGTCGGTCTCGCAATGCACCGAGGCTGTTGTTCCTGATGGCTCGGATTCTGAGGTTATCGCACTTTGTGGCGGTCCAAGCTGCAATATACCAGTAACTGACGATTCAGGCGGTATGCAAAGCGATGTCTGCAACCGATGGTACCATCAGCTTTGTACGGAGCAAAATACCAAGCAGTAAGCAGCACTGGCCTCTAGCGAAAAGTTGCTGTTCAGTTGCGTCAATTGCTGCGGCCGCCGGCAAGGCCGCACAGCCTTTCGTACGAGAGATGAATCTCTTGATACCCGGCTGCGAAATGTAGAGCGTTCGTTCTCGATGCTCTCTGATCTTCGCTTTAAGATTGATTTGCTTATGACGACGCTACCGGTCTCCAACAAAGCAGATTTGATCGCTTACATTAATGATCAACTTGTGGCACCTATCATTATGTCACCGTTCCAGATGGCTACCGACCACCAAAATGAAGCAACTTCGGACGTCGTATCTAAACCTACGCTGATCGACGCCGAGTTGCTGGTTCAAGGGTCACTGCGAGTTAAGCGAAGAAGAGCCAGGAAACCTCGTAAGCTCTCTGCTAAACAAGAAGTTGTCTCGGCACCGGAAACAAGCCAAGTGTCGTTACTTGGCAAACCGTCTGACGGTTGTGCAAAGGTGAAGATCCCAACACGCACTACTTGTCAGCCCAAGTTGCCGGAAATCTTGGTTCTCACCGAGAAGACATATTCTGAAGGTGTGCTTGATTCTGCTCAAAGTAAAAAAGCCTCACGGGACCCTGCTCCTGTTATCAAGAAGAAAAAGCAGACAAAATCTGCTATAATGCCTTCCGGTGAAATCGATGACCCAACAAAAGTGAGACATCAACAATGGAGCGAAAAACATACGCTGCCGTTGGCTAAAGACAGTTCCATCACCA